TTCCTGCCTCCCCACAGCCCCGACGAAACCCGCGGGGTACAAAACTCGACGAACTCCACATATGCATGATTTCTGTTATTGCCCCCGCGCGTTGTTTCAAGGCGTGCCCCCAATAAATCGAAACGCCCCTTTATCATCCCTGAGGATCGTCCCGCATCGGTCGGAATGCGCGAAATGGGAACATGGACTTACGAGGAGGGAAACTGGACGGGAGGGTGTATAATAGCAGCATCATTGGTGCAAGGACGGTGGTGGTGGTGACGAGGATGATGCAAGTGACTATACTAGCATCAGGCGTGAAAGGAACAACTAGCATCAAGTGTTACGACCCAGACACACGGAAAATGGACGGGAGGGTGTATAGCAGCATACTTATGATGGCACTTATGATGGTGGCGGTGATGATGGTGACTATGACGGTGATGATTGTGATTATGATGTTGATGGTGTCTTGGATGATGCTGACGGTGATGATGGTGACGATGATGGTGATGATGTTGATGGTGATCATGGCGGTGATGGTGATGATGGTGACTATCATGGTGATGCTGGTGGTGGTGATGGTAAAACTGATGATGATGGCGATGGTGATGCTAGTGACTGGGATGGTGGTGGTAGTGGCTATGCTGGTGATGTACGTGGCGATGGCGATGATGATGACCTATGGTAAGGTATATCATGTTTCCCGACCTGTACCCTCATGGTGGGTTGCCGACCATGGGCACCAACGTAAGTTTCACGCCGACGCGTGAAAAGTCATCGGCCGCACTCCCACGGCAGCCTGAAACCAACTTATAACACCTGCAATGATGAACTCCTGGCTGGGAGCTCACGCGCGCATGAACTCCAGCGCCTTGGCCTTGATGACCTCGTGGAGCTCGAGCTTCACGGCGCCCTCGGCCAGCGCGCCGCTCGCCTTGGTCAGCTCCTCGTCGACGCGCGCCTGCCTCTGCGCAAGGCCCGTCTTGTTGTCGCGGTGGATGCTGTGCATGATCTTGCACTCGCTGAGGGTCGTGTCGATGCAGCGGGCGCCCTCCTCGATCCTCTGCACCGCTGCAGCGAAGAACTCGTCGGCGCCTAGATCGACGAATAGCTTCTGTGCCTCCTTCTTGTGCTCGTTGACGCTGTCGATGGCCTTCGTGCGCAGCGACGTCAACCTCTTGCTCGTACCCCTCTGCGCGACGGAGAACACGGCCCCCTCGGCCTTCTCGAGGATCTGCTCCCAGGTCAGCTCCCCGAACGACGCTGGGTCACCCTTGTAGTTCGCGCCGTCGGTCATGCCTCCTGATGGGGGGGGGGGCGACTATACACATAACCAATGCAGCCCTCCCGCCTTCCCCATCCAGCCCAAAGCTTGAGCTGGATGAAGGTGGCGACGAGGAACACATCCGTTATTGCACATTCGCTGCCTCCCCCGATCCTTTCTGAGCGTCCACGGAGTCCGCCATCTTGCCGAGCTGCGCCGTCACCTCGGCCATCCCCGCGCGCTTGAAGTCCTCCAGCATCTTCCCGATGGTGGCGAAGAGGTCTGCGGGCGTCGATCCATGAGGAAGAACTCGGCGCACTTCGTCTGGACCCCGACGTCGGAGCAAGAAGCGGAACCGTCGAGCGTCAGTTTCTCCTTCCAGCGCTCGCGGCCGCTCTCCAGATACACCGCGTGCAAGGCCTGGAATGCATCGAAGCCGTTGTCGCTGACTACCTGCTGCTCCGCGGTCTCGCCCTCTGCGAGGAGATCGATGGCCATCGCGATCGTGTTCAGCTTGTCGGAGAGGAGGTCCGCCAACACCGTATTGTATGTGTCTGGCCACCCTTCGTCGGCGACGAACGTCTTGACCCCGGTGCTCATGAGGGTGAGCTGCTCCTTGTGAAGCTTGATGTCCATGGCCCACTCGGGAGAGACCGAGACCTGTTCTGAGTGCTTGCTAATGCTCGCCATGGCAGCCGTGTTCACCGTTACCATGGCATGGCGAACTGTCTCGATGTGGTCCGCGTCGGTGAAGTGGAGCTGCCTCTGGTAGATCGTCTTCTTGAGGGCGTTCGTGTTATCGACGGTCGGGGCAGAGGCGAACCTCCGCAAAGCCAGCACAGCTTGCTTGGAACCGTCGACCTGCTTCATGTCTTCGTATTTTGCCAAGGAGATGCTGCGCAGCACGTCGATCCCTTCTTTCAGACTCGAGCACTCCTCAAAGCTAGTCGAGTTGCACAGCTCCTCGATGAAGCGGTCGACGTCGCCCATCTCCTTAACTTCGAGCTCCTCGACGGCGATGCGGGCACGGAGCCACGTGTTTATGGTATCCAGCAGCTTGGCCCACGCCACGTCGCAAGCGGTCGGCCTGCACAGCTTCGCAATGTGTGTCAACTCAGCCACGTTGCCCTTGAAGAACTCCTGCTTGTCCCCACTCGGAATGTCATCAAGCGTTTTCATCAGGTGGACAACCTTGGGAGCGAGGTCGAACTCGTCCGCCCTGTGTCTCATAAAAAGTGCCAGGGCTGGAGCCCAGAACTTGCTGTCCTCGATGTCCTGCTTGGCGGTCTGCCAGCACTTGTCCAAACTCCCATCCAAGAACTTCTTCACAATCAGGCTGTCCAAGTTCACAAGCTTGTCGACCCCTGGCGCGTCAAGTGACCCCAGAAGGCGCAGGATGGTAATCAACTCCAAGGCACAGTTCTTGAGAATGTCGTAATCCTGTGGCGTGCCTGCATATTTGTCGACGGTCGCGTCTTCCAAGATGTGTTCCATATCGTCGACTAACCTCGCATTGAGATACCTCCCCGACTGGCCTTGCTTGACCAAGGGCATCACGACGTACTCCGAGGCCACCGCCCGAAACCTGGCGACGAAGGCAGCTGGCTCAGGTGTAGGGATATCCCGCAGGCGAGGGTTCAGGCAATCGAAGTTGGAGCCGCCGCCGTCGCCATCCAAATCGTCAGCGAAATCCTCTAGGCCATCAATGCTGAAAGGCATGATCGCATCAGCGATGTCCTCCGTGACGCTGGCGCTCTTGACTCGTAGTTGGACCAGCTTCACCGCGTAGGCTGGCGGGAATACCATCCCCTTCTTCTTGAGCTCACCCAGGGTCTTGAACAAGACGCCCTTTTCCACGGATCCTGGGTTCACAATCTTGTATGCTTGCTCGTGCTTGAGCCTGGCGCGCCGAACGTTCGAGATGCAAGCGTCGACCTTCGCCGAGTCCTCGAAACGCGTTGCTGCATAGACGTCGGAGCCGTTGTACTTACCCTGGAGAACCTGGCCAGCATCCAATCGGTTGATGAGGTCGATCGCCTTCTCCTGGTCCGTGAGGTTCCGCTTATACCTCTTGTTGCCGCCCGCTGTGGTCGCGGCGCCATCGCTCGCCACGCTCTTGGTGTCGCAGGGGCTCTGGTACAACTCAGTCATCGATCCTCCTGACCTCGCCCCCCCCTGGCGCCTGCCTCAGAAGCTCAGGCGATCCCGCGTGCATGCCCAGTAACGGAGGAGCTTCTGCGGCGGCGTCGTCAGGATGCAGAGAGCCTGCACCTGCGTCGGGGGCCCGCGCGCCCGTCGCAGCAGGCGAGGCCGCACCTTGGCCAGACGCGGCATTGGCCTCCAAGAGTCCACGGCTACCAGCAGGAGGCTCTGCAGAGACACCATCTTGATCTCCGCGCGGCTGCCCGCTGCCTTTGGCGCCCACACCGTCGTCTCCAGGGGCAGTCATACCCAGGGCATTCTTCTTCAAGAACTCCAGGGTCGGGGGGAACTTGTTCCCGCGAAGGCTCACGGGCAGGGACTCGGTGAGGAGCTTGCGGACTTTGTCGAACATCGTCGCAAGCTGATTTGCCGCCACCCGCTTCTGAGGACTCATGTTGACGATCTGGTCTTCCAGCTCCACCTTGCACCACATCTTAACCTGCAAGAAGGGCCCGCTGTCGTCTTTAGTGATGACCATGTCGTTCATCTGCCCCCCAGTGAACGGACTCGGGATGGTGCCCGTCTTCTCGCCCAGAGCCTCGAGGTCCAGGCCCTTCGTGTCGGTGGACATCATGTCGCTCTCCTTCTTGGCAGTGAAGTTAGCAATGACTGTGTAGCCCAACCTCTTGTGCGCAATGATGCTCTGCGTCGGGAAAGACCTCTCGTCGGGGTCCGTGTCAGCCACCTTGATCAGCTTCTCGAAGGTCTCGTCGAACTCTTTGTCAGCGCTGCACTGACCGCAAACCTGGACGAAGCTCACGCCCAGGGCGTGAAAGTGCGGCATGGGGGAATAGCACTGGTCGCACGCATTGACCGAGAGGGGCACCGTCTCGGGCACAGACTTAGCCTTGCACCTCTGGCACGTGCACGGCGCACCAGGCTTGCGCAAGGCATCGCCCAGGTCAGGGTTTCGCATCTCACCGATGGTCGGGGGGGCCGAGCCGCCTGGGAGGTGGAAGAGGCCGCCGATGTCCTGGTCGGCACCGCCTGCATCAGCAGCCTCCCTGGCTTTCCTTCCACGCCCGCGACCATGCCCACCACTGCGGGCGGCCTTCTTGGGCACGGGCTCTTCGTCAGCAGGACCATCGCCTCTCGGAGCACGCTTGCGGGGCGCCATCGCCCTGCCAGCCACGCGCAAGTGAAGTGCAATGGCCAGAACAGAAGTGATGAATTGAGGACTGCAACTCAGTCCCTGAACCAAAGCGGCGACGACGGAGGGGCGATGGGGCCGACGACCTTCCCTGTTGGTCTCTGTCGTTGCTTCGGGGTTTGGCCTGGACCAGACACGTTCATCGTGCATGTAGGTAGCGCGGGACAGACAACGCACAGCCATGGATCCCAGATGCTCCTCGAGGTATGCCAGGACTTCAGAAGAAGGCAAGGTCACGGACGCATCCATTGAATCATGCGGCGTGGCCGCGTGTTGAGGCGAGACCGTGTGGGAAATTACTTACTACGCCCAACGCGCCACAACTGCGCGTCTGCCGAACGATCCACTGCAACCCCGATCGATTGCAAAGGCCACGGTCGCTCCGGTAAGTTCAGAGGTTCGGGGCACGCGGCCGCTCGGGCAAGGTCAACATTGATTTGTTAGTTGTTTAGTTTTTTTTTGTTTTTTATATAAAGATTGTTCGGTACGGTACCCTGGACCCTTGCATGAGCGTCCACTTTCCTGTCGGCAAGAGCCCCAGGGATCCCAGGATACCTCGACGGCGGTGCCGCTCCCCAGAAACAAATACACCGAAAGAGCACCAAGCCACGCAACCATATGAAGTACTTATGGTTATGCTGCGCTTTCATGCTTCGACGCCAACGGCGGACAGGCGAAGCCGAACTTTGAATGCAGAAATCAAGAAGATGGGGCCCCCGACCGAAAACCCCCCAAACGGAACGCCAGACCAGAGCCGACGTCCGCACGTGGCGACGAGGCAACCACACGCCCAAGGTCGACCTGAAAACGCCACCACCACGCAAGGTGGCCCTCGACGCTGGTCCAGAGAAGGCTTGGTACAGAGGAGCAAACGCTGGCGAGGCCGCGGCCTTGGTCGAAGGTCGCCGTCGGCTGGTGGCCAGAGACCACGTCGGTGCTGCCCAGGAGGGCATCTGCTGAAGTGGGCATTCGCTCGCGACCGCTCGTCGGCAGAGCTCGAAACCCCGTCCTCCCAGAAATTGGCCCCGATGGGGGTCTCCATATCGCTGCTGTCTGGCTACAGATGTTTATGACGCTTGCTTTGATAAGGTCCACATATTGCTGTTGGTCGCTTGCGTTGCCGACGCATGGGGTTTCCAGAAACGAATGATTCGCGAAGCGTCATATCTACTTGATGGGAAGGCCCTACCTACTTGTGAGAGGCTCCTATTGACTTTTTGGGAGGGTCCTACCTACTTTGGTGAAGATTTTTTTGTACTTTTGGGAGTGTCCTATCTACTAATGGGATGGTCATATCTACTTTTTGGAAGGGTTTTATCTACTTTGGGGACGGTCCTGTCTACTTGTTTTGGGGGGCACATGTACTTTTGGGAGGGTCCTATCTACTTGCGATGGGGGGTCCTATATACTTCTTGGGAGGGGCCTATCTGATTTGGTGCGGGTCCTATCTACTTCTGGGAGGGTCCTATCTACTTGATGGGAGGGTCCTATACACTTCTTGGCATGGTCTGTCTGCTTTTGGGAGGGCCCTATCTACTTGCTGAGAGGGCCCTACCTACTTTGGGAGGGTCTTATCTACTTTTGGGGAAGGTCCTACCTACTTGCGGGAAAGTACTACCTACTTTGGGTTGGGTCCGATGTGCCTTTGAGAGGGTCCTATCTACTTGTTGGGAGGGCCCTGTCTATTTGTTGGGAGGGTCCTATGTACCGTTGGGAAAGTTCTATCTACAGGTGGAAGGGCCCTATCTCCTTTATTCGGGAGGTCCTCTCTACTTGTGGGAAGATTATCTGTTTGGGAAGGTCACATTCTTGTTAGGAGGCCCCGTCTACTTGTTGGGCGGGTCCTATATACGCCTTGGGACGGTCCTATCTACTTGTTCGGATGGTCCCATCTACTTGTTGGGAGGGTCCTATCTGCATAATGCTGCATATGGGAGGGTCCTATCTACTTTTGGGAAGGTCAGAGCTACTTGGTGAGAGGGTCATATCTATGTTGGGAGGGTCCTATATGCTTTTGGCGGTGTCCTATCTACGTGTGGGAAGGGCCTGCCTACGTTTGGGGGTGTCCTATATACTTTTGGAGTGGGTCCAATCTACTTGTGGGGGGTCCTGCATAATTGTTGTGAGGGTCCTATCTACTTTGGGGACAGTCTGGTCTACTTGAGGGAGGGTCCTATCTCCTTTTTTTTAAAAAAAGGAAGGTCCTACCTACTTTTGCAAGTGTTGTGTCTACTTGTTGGGAAATTCTCACCTAATTGCTTCGAGGGTCCTATATAGTTGTTGGGGGGTGCTGTTTAATTGTTGGGCAGGTCTGTTTGCTTGTTGTGAGGGCTCCACCTGCTCGTTAGGAGGGTCCCAATACTTGCTCGGATGGCCATGTCTACTTTGGTGAGGGTGCTATCTAATTGTTGGGGGGGTCGTATTACTCACTTGCTGGGAAGGTCCGATATCCTCGGTGGGGCGGTCCTACCTACTTGCTGCGGGGGCCCCACGTTGGGGGGGTCCGATCTACCGCTGGGAGGATCCTATCTACTTTGGGAGGGTCATATGACAGCATGGAAGTGTTCTATCTACTTTTGGAAGGTTCATATTCACGCTGGCGATGGTCATGTTTACCTGCTGGGCGGGCCCTACGTACTGGATGGGAGAGTCCTGCCTACTTGTGTTGGGCGAGTATCATCTTGTTGTGAGGGTCATATCTATTTTGGGACGGTGCTATATGTTCTTGTGAAGGTCCGATCAGTTTGTCGGAAGGTTCATATCTAATGTTGGAGGGTCCTATATACTGGCTGAGAAGCTAGTATCAACTTGTTTGCCTGGTCCGATGTACTTTTTGGATGGTCATATCGACTGTTCCGATGACCATATGCGCGGGCGCCGCGGCGGCTGCCGCGCCGAACGGGGCACCACCGCGCGCCTCGCGCGCCGCGCTGGCATTCAACCGACGCCGATACTCTCGCACAGGGGCGCCGCGCAATCGCCCCGCGCCATGGACGCGGCAGAGCCTGCCCAGCTTCGCGCTGCATCGCATCTGCACTTCGCAAGGGGCTGCATGCCTGCGCCGCCCTCGGCGGGCGTCGCCCGCGCCAGGCTGCTGCCCGAGCGCGGCCACGCCATGTTGCCGCGCGCCCGCGCGCGCGGACATCGCGTGCGATGGCACTGATGGCGCGCTGCGCGTTGCCAGACATGGCGCGCTGCCGACTGGGCGAGATCCGCGCCCCAGGCCCGTCGCCGCGACGCGCCTCGCGCGCGGCGCGGCGCTCTTCCCCGCCCGCCGAGGTCCCCGCCACCACCCACCCACCCACCCACTCAACATCCTTGGCGACCCGAGCCGCGGGCCACATGCTTCTGCGGGCGCGCGTTTGCAAGCGCTGGCCATGCCGAATCGTCGGTGTTTGCTCAGCGCCGCGCGATCGCAGCGCGACGCGGCCCAGGCGCTCGCTCGCCCGCTGGGGCCCGCGGGCCCCGCAGTGTAGCATCGCGGGGCATGTCGGCCCCTTTGGGTCCAGTGGGGCATGCAACGCCTGCTGGGGTTGTGGGGCCTGCTGGTTCTGGAACCTGCGAGGCTGCGAGACCTGCGGGGCTACTTGGGCAGATGGGGCAAGTGGGGCGTGCGAGACCTGCGACGCCAGTGGGCCAGTGGGGCCGTTGGAACCCGCGGTGCCTGCCTTGCGAAACCTGGCGGGGCCAGCGGGCCCTGCGGGGCCCAGGGTAACTGTGCGGCCTGCGACGCGCGACGACGGGGGCCGTGGAGCCCGCGGGGCCATCGGGGTCTGCGGGGCATGGATGCGCCTCTGTG